AAAATCACGATGCGCGCAAGGCGCGCGTAAGGGCAGAGTTGCTGTATTTAACCGCAGCTTATGAATTATTAATGATACGGCGCCAACTTTTCGACATGGAGTTCCCTTGAGAGACGTTGCAAAGAATTTTATAAGTCCTAGGGCACGTTGCTTGTCGCCAAGTGACGCCCGTTAGATCTCATCTGGGCACTTCAGGACTCACGCTGGCCCAGTTCGCGACAAGAAAGCTGCCTGGGACTTTCCGCCTGGATCCATCCGCCTTGCACTGGCGACCTTCACGTCCAGCACCTAGGCAGAGCAGCCCTCAGTTCGTCGAGGGATGCTGCTGACTTGCGGGCATCCGAACTTTACGATGTTCTTCAACCACCAGGCGGCTGCAAACAGCGTTAGAACTACCAGCCAATATTTCAATATTTGCGCCCGCCATCTTGCTTTTTCGCGCCAGTCCTTCTCGATCTTTCGAAAATCGACGTCACAACATGGCCGACAACTCCTGCACGGCTGTCAAAGCCAGCTTCTAACACTTTTGGACCAGTTCAAGAGAGGCTGACTGAACGTGAATGGCAAGATTTGCTGTAGGGGAAAAGCTAACAAAGTCCTTTTTCCTGAAATTCGGCCGAAAAGGTGGGTTTAGAAAAGCTTTATTTGCAATATTTTACTTGAATAACGTAAGGGTTAACTTGCAGACCAACTCAAACGAGGGAAGGGCTTCTTATGTCGTATTTTGGTTAAGGGTGAACTTTGGGCTAAGTTTTCTTTTCAAAGAGAAGGAGGTTCCTTTCTGTGGGCTAGTCAAAACTCTGAAACTTATCACATTTGTGCAAGTAGAGCATAGCGTAAACAACTCTGTGGCGCACAGATGAATGAAGTAGGATTTTGGTTTCGTATACTAACAGGAGGGGGGTGAATAGGGGTCTGCAAATCCGCCGATCCGTGCCTTTTTTACCCCAAATCCGTCGATCCGCCAATATTTTTCTTCAAGTCCGAAACCACAAATTACATCCGGAAAGGTAAATGTGAATGCCATTGTCACTAGTAATGTCGTACAAATAGAAGGCAACATGCGTGATGACTATAACACAGTACAATCCCAATAACAGTCTCACACCTGAGTTTAAATGAGCTTTCTTTGACAAAAGAAATAATTTGGTAAACTCGTTAACATACCAACCAAGGCTGAAGAAAGATCTATGATCCAAATTTCGTTCAGAACCCGAGATCTGAACATCAAGACAGGCACAAATCCGGAATCCGCCTAAAAATTCACAGCTGATCCATGATCCAGAGTGTTTTCAAAATCCAGGAATCTGCTCGATTTACGGCAAAAATCCACAATCCCTACGCTTTTTAAGGTATCACTAAGGGGAAAATTTGCCATTTTGCATAATTTTACTTTTTTAAGCTGTTGGATAAATCTTCAGGTAATCTTTAAAATAATAAAAAAGATCCACAAAAAAATATTATATCTGCTGCTAGTTATTGAGCGAGAAAGATTTTTTGCATATTAATTACTTAATGGAGAGTTGACAAGTTCTGTCAAATGAATTAATTATTGAGGCAAGAAGTTACATGACATCAAGATCATGCTGAGTTGACCCGCGATTTGTGCACCATAATCAGTACCGGATGTCTTCCAAGAAGAAAAAGCGATCTTGCCTGTTTTCATCGGCCAAAGGAAGGCCAAAGAAGGCGAAAAACACTTTCGACAAAGAGTGGGCTGCTAAATTAGCAGAAAACAACAAAGGGTCATTTTATAACCAAGAAAAATTGCTGGATGAACTCGACAATGATTGCGATCACGCAGCCAGCGAGCAAGCCAAAATGAGCGCAAGCCGCACTAAAATAATGTTGCAAGAAACTGTTGAAGCAGAGGAGATTGATGAAGAGAAGTGGACGAAGTTTATTCACTGGTGAATAATTTACCACATGCCGTCCCGGGAAATTTGTACGTCTTCCATGTTTACTATCACAGTCCTATTGTTATACAGAAAGTTGATTCCTCTGTGGTATCTCCCTTGTTGTCATAATCTCATAACACTTGGATGCCGGCGAATTTTATTTTTTCTCTGTTTCTTGAAAGTAAAAAATAGGCGAGTTGTACGTGCATTTTGAGTTCCAGGTCGGCAGCCCTTGGACCAAATTGGCTGAAATTCGGAGAGACTGCCGACAAAACCGTGTCTGCGAATTCTGATTATTCTTTTCTTTAAAAAGTTATGCCTTTTGTTTGCAGGCAATCCTATTTTTTTTCCTTTTCTAACTTTATCCTCTTGTAAAATAATAACACACGCATGTGCCAAATATCTGAGACACGGTTTTTGAGGTCAATGTGTGAAGAAACGGATGCCATGTGAATAGTTTTCTCTGACCTAAATTTAACGGGTGTATACCTTGATTTATGGGTTCGTGAAGCGTTGTAAACATATTCACATTTTCGAAACATGGCCAAGTTTTACCGTTTTAAACAGGTCGGGTCATAGTCTGTAGTTATTAAGCTTCCAATAAATATAGGGTTTCTATGGGTTTTTGTTAAAACCACGAACACTAGAGCAGACTGCGCGCCGATGATCAAATGGGTTTTACTGATACCTTAAGGCCAAATCTGTCGATCCGAAAATCTATTCACCCCCCTCTAACAGACTAATAGATCAAACCAGTATCATACTATGGAAGTCTTCACTTCGTCTTCGTGGAGGTCTGCCATAAACTGTTTCCTAACATTCGTAAAAGTATGATTAAAAGTTGCATGAGAAATCTTGGTCTTAAGCTGTTGAAGGCGCCTCAAGAAATTCAGGACAAGTTTAGAACTGCCAGACCTTACTTGGCCTATTACAACATCCTCTCGCTGATTTCTGAGTGAGACGTTGTCATTCTTGAGGCCTACCAGGATTCACGCGAAGAAAGGAAAGAAAATCCTAAAAAAAACTGTATGGACCTTTCTTAAGTAATGCTACTGTTATCAATACTAACTACATACACGTGGGAGAACAAAATGATAGCTTCCAGTCTGGAGGGGACATTTTTTCAAGGGATACCGTGTAAATCTTCAAATTAGCACCTGGGGCGCTTATTTCAAATTTAGGAGAAGACGGGGGACGCTTATTCAAGAGGGCGCTTATTTAATTTTTCCCAAATCATGGCCTGACATGATCATTTTTTAATACGTCATCTGCACGTTAATAACAACATACCAGTGTTTAGCGACATAAAAAGCTGATCCTAAAGTTTAAATTGCAGTGCCGTTAGTACTTAACGTGTTCAACGTGTTCACTTAACGTGTCCACAAACTGAAACAATGTGCAAATCTAATATGACATGACAAAAACTCTACATCTACATCAAGGAAAGGATTTTTCATCACAGATTTTCTTAGAATTGGCCTTTTCATACAGAAAGCAAACACATTCATAAAGATCTTCATAAAACTACATGGTAAATGGTAACATAAAAACCATTTTTGGCTTATTTTTAATGACAAAATCGTTGCAACAGTGCTTTTTGCGTCTCCGACAGCCTTCCTCTGGTTCAACTAAAATACAATCTAAATACCTTTTGCTCACAACCAGAAACTACTGTAATCATGTGTTGATTAGGCTTGCCACTTCCATTTTATAACATAAAATGTAGGGGTAACCGTGGGTATTTTGGAGTTATTGATCTTTTTTTCAAAATGTTTACGCTGCCGTTTCATTTTTTCCTGTCACCTTCCCAGTAAGTAAAACATTTGCGTATCTCGCACTTGTTTTGCGCTTGCACTACGCCATCTGCAGGTACATGTGTACAGTTGGATTTCAGTATAACTTTCATCAGATAACCGCTAGTTTTTCATTAAGTACCAATTTCTTAGTAGAAAATCTCTTGAATGCTTCTTCGGGAGGTTTAGCCATAGAAAGGCCATTGACTGGGTTTTCAGAATCGCAGGAACAAAAAGTCGATGAGCAGATTTCATTGGACTTGGGCAGTGAGATTAGTGTGATCAACTTGTCATGGTCTGTGGAAAGACTGGAAAGTGTATCCTTCTCCCAGTCATTGTCATTTGATTAAAGGTAAGCTTGTGCTATTTTTAATAATGTTTAAGATGTGGAATACATGTAGTTTTCTTATCACCTTCCCAGATAATTGGTAAAGATTATGGCATACAAGGAAGATGACACTCTCTCAGAGCAAGACTTACAGTGTGGTTGCTGCTTTGAGTTGATGGTAGAACCCACCACACTCACCTGCGGACATAGCTTTTGTCGTTTCTGTCTAGCTCAGTGGTGGCATGCGTCAAGTCATTGCACATGTCCAGAATGTCGACAGCCTTGGTCAGGCTTTCCAAAAGTTAACATTGTTTTAAGGTGAGGATGGACAACATATCATTTTGCCTTATACTGTAAAAACCTGCATGTAAGAACCTACATCTTTTGAAGTCTGGCAATTCTGGGGTAGCTATTGGCAATTTACGTTAGGTAGGTGCTTATTAGGTTCTTAATTTCTGTGAAGGAAATATGGTTGTTGATCCCCAGAAAAATAAATAAACTTGGGTCTGGTCCTTGACCCTTTCGTACTTGATCTTGCTCCCAAAAAGCCATATTTTTTATGGTCAAATGGTTTTTTGGCATGCAATGTTGCTAAATTGCATTAAATTTGTTAGGAATGCAATATTTTACATTTGATCTAGATTTTCGACTACTTTCTATAGTCCAATGAGTGATGCTTTACTTTAGCGCATGCACATAAGCCAAAATTTGGACTTTTTTTTGCTGAAAATGCGTTGCATTTTTTGTCCTGCCTCCTTTTCCTTTCCTTTTTCTCTCTCTTTCTTCTCTCACTATCATCTACTCTTTTCTTCCTTTCTATCAGCTGCAAAAGTTTTGGTACTTACCATTCAAAAGACCAGCAAATGAGACATTGATCAATAACGTTATGGGGGTAATGGCCAATTTTACCAGCAATTTTGCCGCATTTAGTCGATTTTCAAAATGGACACACATATGGAAAGCTCTGTCTCTCCTGAGTTAGTTGTTTATCAGAACAATCTGCTGATGTAGGAATCAATGACGTCACAATTAGTTCTTTGTCTACCCCTCCAAATGTTGTCTGGGGACAACACTAGGTGCCAAAGGTTTAAATATGCAGTGTTATTCAAAACTGTACTATGATAAGCCCAACAGAACTGATTACAGAATACACAGTGGAACCGCGATATAATGAAGGTGCTAAGGGACTGACAAAATACGTTTGCTATAACGAGGTTTCGTTGTATCAAGGTTCTTTTCCATACATTTTACAATTGCTGGGGCAAAGAATAATGTTTTTTATACCGACGACTTTTGTTATACAGAGGTTTGGTAAATCAAGGACCCACTGTATATATAGTGTTGTCTCTATAACAAGAGTTCATAATTTAACTGTAACCAGCATATTATAACCTGCTTGATCTTCCTTAGCTAAACAGGTTCTTAATATATTTTTGGGTTTTATTGCATTATTATTGTACATGTAGTCACATTGCACAACAGCAGCAAGTATACATTTGTAAATCATTTCGTGGTCATCCAGGTATTTTAGGTGAAGGCAGCAGTCAAACAGATATAGATAGATAGATAATCTTTATTTAATTACAGTAAAATTTGTCAGCAAGAACAATTTATGAATAAGTAAAAACTAATATAAATTAACCTAAAACTTCAAATAGCTATTGAGGTAATCTCAGATAGTGCAAAGTGTAATTGATACATGTAGCTCTGGCACATAGTCACAAAGGTACTCACCCCTGCTCAGTTCACTTCTGATTTGTATTTACCTTGGTAGCCTGCTAGGGCATTTCTCCTTACAGAATACATGTATGAACGGACACAAACCTTGATATGACATAATCTTAGCAGTGTGTATGTTCCAGTGCAGAATTAACCACTGGGGAGATAAGTTTGGCATTTGGTCGTGCAATGGAAGTTCATCTGTCATGCCAATTGCAGAGCGGTGTTCCCCCCTTTATGCCATATAATGTGTGTTTATTGCTTGTGACTGTTGGGGTATTTAAAGCATTACTCCCTAGGAACTGCAACATTAACTTGTGATGTCATGTCCCTCGAATAAACATTCCCAGTGTCTTAATTTTTTTTCCCCAGTTTTAACATATTTAATGTTCTCTTCTTATATAGAAAGACCATCAAAATATTGTTTCCAAAGGAAGTAGCGGAACGACAACTTTACCAAGAGACATTACCGAATTACAGATCAGTTATGTCCAAGTTTGATGCACTGCATATTAAACCTACTCAGAGATCTCTGAGCAGTCATGGAGTGCAACATGTGCGCTTTGGCTTTTCAAAAATCATATTTATTGTGCTGTCTATTCTGGGGATTGCCATGGTGAGTGCAAAAATCAGATTTGTTGTGAGCTCATTAAATTTTGTTTGTAAATGGTTCTTTTCATACATTGATGCATCAAACCATAATGAATTAAAAGTCTACAAAGTTTTCACATCGTTTTGACAACTTTCCGATGGGGCTCCAATAATTGATTTGATCAGTCTGTTACATGTAAGTGGGAGAGTGGAATGTTGTCTTATCAACTCACTTTTGTTAGATTTTAATTGTCGTGAGGAAATCAAATGGGACCATTCAGGTTACAGTTGTCTAAAACCTGTCAACATAGTTGAGTCAGATTCACAGTTAACTGTAAATTTAAGGCTGGTGTATACAGTAAATAATTCTGTTCTGAAACTGTTCAAAATATAGAGGATAATATGTGGCCGTGTGGAGATACGAAATTTATCTTCGAGTGTTAAAAGATATTTCACTTGTTCACTGAGCTCACTCTTGAAATATTTTCAACACGAGAAGAGAAATTTTGTATCTCCAAGCAACCATATAATTTTTGTTATTATATAAATTCTCACAATACATAATGACCTTTTTGGTTATTTTCCGAAGATTTCCGACAACTTTCTGAAGATTTCTGAAGATTTTCCAAAATTTGTCTGAGTTCCAGATGGACGGTTCCAAAAATTTTCTGAAGATTTCCAAAGTTTTCCAAAGATAACCAAAGACAGCCGAAGACTTCCAAAGAAGATCCGAAGATGTTTCAGTCATACACCAACAAATATAAGTGCAGTAAAAGGGACAAAAATGTTATAAAATGATAGAGATATCTTCACATGTGGGATATCGTTTTTATCAATTTGTTACCACTCAGTATACCACTAACTTTTATATAATAAATTGAGGATATTACACAGCGGCACAAAGATATTGAACAATTTATTTTAGTCTATCCACTCAGAAATAAAATCTTAAAGCCAGAAGGTAATTTTCTGTACACTGGCTGTTTGCACAAACAATCATGAAAAGGCAGGAAATGGCATCATCAGTATCCTCTTTGGTGAGGATATGGAAAATATGCCACTCAGGTCCCTGGTGTAGTTTCATATTAATTTTATGAGACAGTGGTGTATTTTCCAGTGAAACACTCATGTCTATATAATTATACAAAGTACATGTACTGTGTGTCTCAGGGCTGTCATTAAGGTGGCTCCCTAGAGTATTTATGAACACCCTCCCCATAGAGCACGAGTTAGAAAAGGAATTTAGTTAATTTCTCTTAAAGTTTACCCTGTAGAGATTTACCAGTATGGGTACTGTTAGAATAAGGCTTATTTTTGGTTGTCAATTTTTGGATTAAGATTGTTACCATGGCAACATCTCATCTGATGACAGGCAGATATATTCCTCATTTCTGCATAAACTCATTCTTATTTATACTTTCCTTCGTTGAAATTTTTTCATACTTTGCCACATCATGGAAATGATATTGCCTGACATTTTGAATTGGTAAAAAGTCAAGGTTGTTCAGACGGTTTTTCCAATATTCTGTAATTTGTCATTCTTCTAAATATATTAGATTAGCTCTGACAGATTTTAACAAAAATAGGGTATTTTAYAGGAATTGTATGTGGTTACATCTGGGCCAAATTTWWAAAAAAATCACCCAAGGAAACRTGTGAAAATTCACTGTCAGTCTTGCTTTTTGTGCTCATGTTGATGTCACAAAAATCGAAAAACACTTACATTTTCCTTTGAGCATGTGCAGATTACTTGAGCTTTCGTCCTATGCGCGCGTGTAATCATAAAACTATAGGGAGCCACCTTAAGGGCTGTAATCTGTACTGTGCTAGCACCTGTTATGGCTGATTTTGCCTGATATTCTCAAACAGTTCAAACATTGAAGTGATACAACTTACAGTCCTTGTGAGAGTATTTCCAAATGCAGAAGAAAAATTACACGACTTTGTGATTCTTTGCAAAATGTTCTGAAAGAATAATTAATTCATAACAATCTTATGTGATCTTGTGGGGCTGTAAGAAAATTCTTGGCTGTCTTTCACTATGCATGGACAATGCTTTGTTTGAGTTGGTGGATCACAAACCTCTGTTACAGATTTGCCCATTTTCTGTTTGTATTTGTTTAAAGTAAGAAACAGCTATTATTCACTTACCGGTATTCTATTATGATTCATAGTTTACGTTTCAAGTTTTGAGTCTGTTCATGGGCCATAAAGATCCACTTGTCAAAAAATCAGTGCTTAGATGGAGTACGCAGGATGTAGTCAAATGGTTAGGAAGTCTGGGTGATTGGGCTCAGGAATATGATGAAAGATTCCAAGCAGCAGGAATTGATGGTAACCTTTTGCTGTCGCTCTCAGAGTATGACTTAGAAATTCCTCCTCTCAGTATTGCAGTTTCCTATCACAGGCGTGCGCTAATCAAGGAGCTTGAAACATTAAAAACTCTGGGTATCAAACCTCCAGCAGACCTCTGGGAGTATAAGGTATGGTGTACATACTATATCAGTCTTTAAACTTTGAGCTTAGAATTATAATTATATTGAGTGATTACACATGACTTCATGGTAGCCAAATTAGTGTCCCAAAACAGTGAAAAATGGTGGCCATGTTGTTGTCCCAAACCAATCCTGTTGGAGTTGAACTCTTTCCTTATGTCATTTGCTCGAATAAATTTGCAAGACTGCTGGTTACAAAAGTGGAAACCCTTTATAGATGAGAAAGTGTCCACTTGGAGAAGTGTATGCTTAGTGTCTGTCTGCAGCTGGCATCATTACCTTTGTGGTGTGGCATTCTAGAAAACTGTTGGACCCTGAGATATGTGATATAGTTGACTTTTCAGCCACAATTATATTGAGGGAACAGCAACTAATTGCCAGTCATAAGAGACTACTTACTTGTAAGAACTTGAAGGAACAGTTGACCCTGTTGGCGCCCTTTGAAGTAGTCTGCGAACAGGCTCATGTTGGACCACAAACGCGTGTGGCATAGCTGCGAGACGAGACAGTGAGCCTGCTCTGATCTGTGCAAATTTTTCATTTTCACTCCAGAAACCACAGAAAAAATAAGCCAATTAATTTTCAGAGGAAGAATGAACTTTGGCGGTGCAGATTTCTCGGGAAATATTTGTAAATCTTTTTCATAACAACATGCAGGCACGATATCTGTGGTTGATAAAGTTTTGCCAAAGAAAAACCGTCAAATTTTATGTCTAGCAAGGACGCACACTTGATTCCAGGTGATCTTGCTTTGGCGTTCTGATCTTTGATAATGCTGGTACTGGGCAAACGCCTTTGTGTTGTTTCATTGCCCGCTTGCAATCACATATGTTTGTAAATTTAACTCTTCCCACATGCAGTCAGTAGTATTTCTAGATTCATTAACATACTTTCAACTGCTATTTCCTGCTCTCTCTTTAGTTTGAAATTTAGCCAGAAATAGACTGTATGCACACTCAACCCTTCCTCTGACTCCAAATGTGGATTGTGAGAATGTGCGGTAAATTACCGACTCCATGGGGATCTAATCGCTCCTCATCAAACATTGTAGATTGGAAGTTTTCTCCCCTTTCCCACTTTTCAAGCAATGGTATTTCAGAAGCAGAAATGAAAAAAATTATAGAGATCAAGGTAGGCTCACTTTCTTGGCACCTCTTTACCAGACCCCTTCCTGCCGGATCGCATTGCTCTTCACCGCTTGCCTGCATGACTCAAAGGTGAACCTGCTCACAGGCTACCTTTGCAGACAAACCATACTTTTTTAACCTCCCATAAGTGGGCACTATTTCATGTCCCAATGGTGTCCTGTTTATGGAATGTTCAACTGAGTTAGGTTTGAAATTACCTTTTTGTTGCAACTCATGGCTTAATCTAGTTTTTTTGTTACATGTGTATCAGGCATTTAATAGAAAGCATGTCATTTCCTTTGTTTGCTTGTGTTTTTTATTTTAGGCTGCTTATCCTGTCCGTGCAATGCTTCTGTTGTGGGGCTTACGCGAGTTTCCAAGGTTAACAGTTCTCTTCACATTCTTTGTTTATCACCAAGAGGTTTTTGTGCCTCTTTTACGCCACACAAGTGAAACTGAAATTGAAGAAAGTCTATATGAGGTGAGAACGAGAACAGTGAATAAATATCAATATGGACTAATCTTCTCACCTAAAAAAGCATACCAAAGTTCTATAGCTGCCATTTTTTTTACATCAACTACAGCAGAGTATTGGTAAGTACATCTATAGCTGTTTCAAATTTGAGTCATTTACACTGTTTTTAAATTTAATATTTATTTTTAGTGAAATAGCAGCAGCTAAATCAGCAATGTTTTAGTTTATGCATAAATTTTCAATTAGAATAAAGACTGACACAAGATGGTGCCTAAAGTTTCTCAAATAAGTCTTTCTCTTCTTTACCACGCTGTGTATTAACAAGTGCTGACCATTTAGCAAAAAAATCCGGAAATTTCTGTTGGAAGTCAAAAGGAACAGTAATTTTTTGGAAAATTTGTTCGGAAACTGTAGACTACCTCCAGAGGTAGTCCTCTTTTTCTGTTCGGAACAGAATGGTGAAAATTCCCTTACTATTTGCTAAACTTTCCAGTTTCTAGTCTCTCATCAGCTGAAAAATGGAAAGTCGAGTTGCAAATGGTAAACGCCATTTTGTATGGCCGGTTTCCTGATTTTGGAAAAATCCTTACCATTATTCAACGGTCGTCCCAACCAGTTTACTCTGACAAATGGTAAGCACCCAACACGTTTTATTTTATACTAATAACTGCATCATCTCTGATAGGGGATCCTTCCTTCAGAGGAGTATTTGCGATTTGTTCTACGCCTCCTTTTGGTGCCATATTACCTGATTGGAAAGTTTACAATAAAGTGGCTGTTTCTCAATTCCTGGGTCGGATGTGTTGTTCTAATCTACTGCATCCTTATGAGCCTGGTTGAGTGGTCCAAGCTAAAGTGGCTTTTATTGATGGGAGGTTGGAGGTGAGTTTGAATGTCTTCAGCAATAACAATTCCCCTTTGACAGGAAATGTGGAGGTCTAATGGCTTAAGTGCACTGGACATTAAATTAGATTGGTTCAGCTTCAAGCCCAGACCTGTGTTCTTGAGCAAGGAACTTCAATCTTGGGGTGCCTCCCCTCTCCCAAGCATATAAATGGCTACTGGCAAAATAGATGCTATGGGGTGAGGCTGGGAGGAAATTTTCTCAGATAATTATAGCTTCTTTCAGAGAAACATTGAAGCCTTGTGGGGCCATATTTTTGTCTGGAATATTCTCCCATGGAAATGCTAAAAGTGAAAAATATTATTGATAGCAAACTATGAATGTCACTGTTTGACAGATACATGATTGTATAATTGTCAAGGTTGCACCTGTGAATTGAAAAAGGTCTGTGGTGTGGATTTAAGCAGCACTGTACATGACCACTTAACTGCCCAAACATGATCTTAAGTGAAATCTAACATGATTTGTAAGAGATGTTTTTACAAATACGTTGAAGTCAGAATTTCAAATCTGTTTTTAATTGTACACTACTGAGTATTACATGGAAATTCGTGCGCTATAAATTTTAATTATTATCATTATTATGATTATTTACACAGGCAACTGCCAACATTGTTTGCCGAGATAGCAACAACTGCTCTAATGAATGGTTTATTGCAGCTTTTCCTTTGGCAATTTTTACCCTCTTTTATTTGCAACATTGCATTTTACTGGATGTTATTTTTGGCACCATACTCTGCCTGGCATTGCTTTAAAGCTCAACTCTCTGAAGGAGAACGTGACAATAATCCAGCAAGAAACTTTCTTTTGTGGCTTTGGAGGAAGGCCAAGATGAAGATTCAACACTTACGCACACAAAGATGATTTTAATTCTCACACTTGCTTGATGTGTTTTTGACTTTTTAGTTTAGAGGTTAGCCTTTGTAATGTTCCAATAAGTTTAGAGTCTTGGTGTTAATCCATTTGTTTCTGTTTTTCAAGAAATATCCAGGCATTATATTTACTGTGCAAAACTGCATATTAAGGAAGGTCATTCTTCCAGTAGGAAAAGAACCTGAGCATGAGAGACCATAACAGACTAATGCAGCAAGTGAGGCTTGATTCAATCTGACATGTCTTACAATTTCATATAAAATTTACCACTAATTATTTGAAGGAAGGTGTGAGTTTATTCTTTTCATAATAATTAAAATTATTTTTAGCACTAGTGTGTTACGAACAAATTAAATTCCACTAAACTTTATTAAAATTTATTAAATTATGCTGGTATTGGACTGGAACTAGCTTGTAACTGAGGCTAATGCAGGGAGTCTATTCAAATGCAAATGACATATATCTCTTTTTAATGATATTCTCCCACAGTGCTGGAAAGAAGAGTCGGTCATCAGACACTGTCTGATCAAATTTGGAATATGTGCGGCCAATTTCACATCATGATCAGACATGATGTCCGAACATATTCACCAACACATTTTGACTTCTTCCTTTGAAGTTATTGTCCATCCATAATATATAAAATTAGCCAAGCCTAAAAGTGGAGCTCCTGGATCGGGTTGTTCAAAGCCCAATTAAGCTAACCCAGGATAAGTGAGAATTTTGATTTGAGTCTTGTAACTTTGCAGTGAGTTTTCTGTTTATATTGTTTGGCCCTCTCTTTTGAGTTTGAATAACCTCAAACTACACAAACATAAGCAGTGAAAAACAATTTTTTTACAAGAATAATTTATACTTTGGTTAACTTTTAATCCTGGGTTAGCATTAACTGGCTTATGAAAAACCCGGGCCTGATTACGAGTTATCGTTGCTTGAGTGCACGATCCAACAGAAACCCAGTACTTGGTCAGCGGTCAGCTTCAAAAAACATCTGACCTTGATGAGCTCTAAACTTGAGCCTGCGATATAATCACGTGATACTGGTCAGTGGATAACTTGTTTTGACGGGTGTCAATTGATAATAACATGGATGTCCAATATCAAAGATGTATGCTGTAAACCAAGGCTGCTTGACTTGGTGTTAGCTTGAGTATGGCTGCCATGTTGCACAACGTCATTGTTGTGTTTTTTGTTATTGGACGCATGCACCCATGATCCATGCTACTAGCCATGTTGACTATGAAAAAAGAGTTGTATGGTTTTCTATTTCTATGCATGCATGTGATCCTGTTCCTATAGTTATATTGTATGGTGCTCAGCTTGGCAGCCCTTTGGGCTGCCCAAGTCCGCCAAAATCTGGTTAGCTCCATTGTTAAAGGGCTCAAAATTGTGACTGATAGTGTCACCAATGTGGCTAACATTGCATCTTTGGCAACCAAAAATTCTGGTTCAGTC